GCATATTTCTTTAGGAGTCTTAAATTTAAAATTATAATAATAATATTACATATATATTATGAAAAAATATAAAAAATATACATACTTGATCAAATTCCATATCATTTGGTATAAATCTAAGATCTAACTTTGTTGCTGTAGATTCATATTCTGTACCATCACATTCTGTATAAATTTTATTTGCAGTTTCAGCAGAATCAAAATCAATTACAGCATAATAATATTTTAATCTATTTAATTGATATTGTCTTAATTTTTCCATATGATATGCTGATCCTTCCTCATTCTGTAAAATTAAATTTTAAAACTACAATTTATATTAAAAACACAATTTATATTTATATTAAAAAAAAAAAGAAAAAAGAAAAAGAAGAATAAATTTATACATCATTTTCATCTTCACTTTTTTTCTCTTTATCTATTTCTGTTAATTCCTTTGGACCTTGAAGTTCTTCCTCTTTCATTCGTTGCATACCAAATTCTGAAGGATAAATCTGAAATTATTTCATTATAAAAATTATCAAAAATATGTACTTAGTTTGGTTATCAATTATACATACAATAACTGAACTAATAAAACCACCAAGAGGTAAGAATGAATTAAATAAAACCATTAAATCTACAGCACGTATTCTATCCCAATCCATATTACAAAGTGCCAATCTATGTGTAATTTCATTTGTTGTTTCAGCCTCTTTATCTAATTCACCCCAATTGTGTTCAATATCTTCTTCGTCTAATTAAATAATCAAATTTATTATAAACTATTGTTAAATTCTCTGTAAAATTAAAAATTTTAACTTGTTAAAAATATTAGTTTATTATATACTACCAGAAGCCTCAAAACTCTCTTCATCAGAAGAACTATCTGTCATTAAAATTCCTTCACCTCTAGCATAATTTATACTTAAATCTTTTAATTTTTCTTTAATCTTATCAGTAAGCTTCTTAGATTCACTTTTGCTTCTAACATTTAATTGTTTTTTACTTTCTTTTAAATCAGCTTTTAGATTTTTGACATTTGTTGCATCATCTATATCAGATTCAGAGTCAGATTCAATATTATTCTGTTCGGAATCTTCTTGTGGTTTAATTCTAAGCAATTCTCCATTACTTGAAAAAAAATTATCATCTGATGAATCATTATATTCATTTTCATTTGTATCATTTTCTTGACTTTTTTCTTCCAATTGAGGCATTTCATTCTTTTTATCTTTTTTTTTATTTTCATTAAATTTTTTTTCTTTTTGCTTAGATTTTTCATATTCTGTTTCTTCATTTTCTTCTTCACTACTGGATAAATCATAATATTTTCTAAGATTTTCAGATGATGTTTGATTTATAGGTCTACCTCGTTTATCTATGGTATATTGAATCTTAAATTTGTTATCTTTAAACATACTCTGAAATCTTTTATCTATTTTTACTTTTCTTTCTGTTTTTTGGGATCCTCTTAAACTTAGGATCCCTTGCAATGTAAGCAAATCGTTCATCATTTAATAATTCACTCATGCTAATAAAAAATGTTAATAATAAATATTAATTATACATAAGAAATATTAATTATTTTTTATCTTTATATGAAATATAATATATATATATATATATATAATAAATTGTAAACTAAATTGTCCACAATAAATATTTTTATTTTATACTTACCTTATTATTTTTTATTATTTAGAATTTATAATATTATAATATATTTAATATTATAAAATTATTATATATTTTTTAAATATACTATTTAAGATTTTATTTTAAAATTTAAAGTTATTTATTAAATTTTAATAAATAATTTTAATCATATTCCCTGCATGTATTCAATTATTATTTCTTTAACATAACCTTACTTAGAATATTAACCTTAATAGTACATAAGAAAATAAGTAATATTTATGTATTGCTTCTTATTGGTTAATTGTAAGTTCTATTGGAAATTATTTAACAAACTTTTTTTAATAAAAATATAGTAATATTATATAAAAAACAAATAATTTTATAAAAAAAAATTGAATAATTTTATTAATAATAAAAATTTTATGAAAAAAATATATAAACATATATCTAATAATAATTACAGTTTATAGAATTAGTAATTGTTTAGATTAAAAAGTAATTATTATATATTTATATATTATATATTTTTTATCAATAATAACAACATATATTTAAATATTAATCAATTTTATTTTAGTGAAATAATTTTTAATATTAATTAAAATTAAATGTTTCAATGTTAGGCTACATTGGAATAAGCCAACCAGATTCATTCCCGCCATTTTCCAGTCCTGTTTATTATAACTATATTTGACGCATTATCGCGTCGCATAATTGTATTTTTTGTGTTCTTTGTAATCTTATATTTTATATTTTTTATAAATTTTCGAATTTTAATTTTATTCTATCATCAATAAATCATGTGAACAAGTTAAATATTACGTTTCTGTCAAAAAATAGAGTTGACATTTCATGTGCCATATTTAACTAATCATCAAGAAAAACATAAATTATAATTATATTTTTGAATGAAAAATTTTTTATTATATTGAAAGAAATGAATACTCCAACTACTAGAGATTTCTTGCGAAGACCAGATGGAACGCGTAGAAGATCTTCTCGTCAAGCTTTAGCAGTAATTCCCGTCAACAATTCTGCGTCACCTGGTGCGTTTCTGACATTTTTCGTATTATATTATTTGCTACCTTTTATTTATTTTGTTTAGTTTCAATTTGTGTTTTTTAGGAGAAGCAATTTCTACTGAAGTTAATGCAATGGATAATTTTTTAAATAGTCGTCATGGTTCTGAATCTTGGAGTCCTGCACCTAGTCCTGATGAACTGGTAATTCAAAAACGAGGACGTCGTCGTAGAACTATAGTTTGGTCTCCTGATCTTGATACTTGTAAAAGGAATAGTCTTTTTAGGTAAAATATTAATTTTTTCTAATTTGCAAAATAATCATAAATAAATGTAATTAAATTTATTATAGCTCAAGTTCTAAAGATCGTACTCCAGTGAAAAGTCCATCGAAATCAACTATGATATTGAGAAGTACACCTAGAAAGAGACTTTCTCTTGCTGATAACAGCGAATCTCAATTTACAACACCAGACAAAAAGAAAAAGTTACAAAACTTATTAGATACCAATAGTTCACAAAAATATTTTAGTGGCAATTTATTAAATGGTTTAAGAGGTCTTAGCCATAATCAATTAGTACATATGATCATGGATTTAGTGTCTATGCAAGAGGATGGTCTTCTACACAACAATGACAAAATACGGAATATTTTATTGAAAAAAATGCCAATGGCTGATATTCAATCATTGATTGATATATTAAATAATTTAAAGCAAAATATACAAGCTAGCATCGGATTTTCTGATTTGAATGGTTTATCTAATATTCATTTAGATGCCTTTCATGTGCGTAGTAATTTTTTTACTTTTATATATTTTTTTTTCATTATAAGTTTTATTATTAATATTATCTTGATTTTATATAGAAAGCAATTATAGATCAGGGAAAAAGACTTGTAGAATCACAGCACTGGATATCAGTAATGCATTATGTATATGCAGCATGGAATATTACAAAGCAACTAAACGAAAAAGAACATCAAAGTATATGCAATTTAACACATAAATGTTTTAAAAATTTGACGCATTTTTGTTCTCAAGCTTTGAAAAAAGGAATTTTACAAGTACTGTATTGGATATGTTTGCTGACAGGTATTGAGAAAAAAAATTTAACTCTTATATTTTGAACATAAAAAAATATTATTTTGTTCAATTGTTTACAGGCTTGATGCAATGGTTGAAGATTATGAGGACTTAAAAGTTTGTTTACAATTGATAAACGAAGTAAAAAACAACGAAACTTAAATATTTTTTCTACATCGTTTTCAACAACAAAAAAAGCTATATATATTATAAACATTATTTCTATACATACATACATATATATATATATATATATATAATATATA